CCTAAAATATGGAATACACCACTATTTATAGGATCCATAATAACCTATTATTATTTACAGTAGAAGTCCTTCAACTTTAATTTTTGAGGCAATTACCTAAGACCTAAATGGCACATGATCCTCCTTCTTCACCAAGGCAAATATAACATCACTTAGAGATGATAAACTTCTATTGATTGCCTGATTTTCGTAGTTTGAAAAATCTTTATACCGACTCTAGGGCAGCCTTGAGCCTTCTGCAGGGAATGCTGCAAAGTTTGATCTGATACCAAATATAGAGATGCTTTATCTTCGGTCTCAGGCGGATAAAGTTCATTTCTGAATTCTCCACGCACCATGGACTAAGTTTCCTCAGATTGAGAGGCACAACAGTTACCCATTGTGACAAATTGAAATATCATCTCCCCGGAAACTACAGTACCGGAACTGGAAAAACACCATGTTGGGCACAACCTCTAGTGTCTAGTACCTAAGCTAATGCTCGGAATAGCCCGAGCAAATGGGCAAGACGGGAAAAAAATATATATATATCTGTGGTGGTTACTCTTTTTTACTTCAGGTAATGGTAATAATCCAACTCTCACGGCTACTTCAGGAGTTACCTTTCCAAATTCTTATACCATTGCCTCGTTCAGATTCTTCAAATTGGACTTCAAGTTACTTATCTTAGCATCAATGAAATTGAAGAAAGTCGACAGAGTTCAGGGAGTAATAAACTAATGACTGAAGTAACAATCACCTAGGCGAAATATTGATAAAAATGTAAACTCAGATGCTCAAGTAATTACAGAATGCAAGATTTTACAAATTCAATTAGGCATGTTGAGGAAAGTGTAGAACTAGAAGTTGCATCAACTCTCTCTCTCTTTTCAACCTTGTTCTCTTAGTGAAATTTCGTTGTCAAAAACAGAAGTTTACATTGAACATGCCTACACCTGAATGATCGCAAGCATGTCGAGATCATTCCTGCAATGACTTTTGTTGAACATGCAATTACACGAATAGATGAAAGTCGAGCTAAAATTAATAAAAACCCATTGGATAGCATTAAAATGTTGTAAGCTGAAGCTATTATGTACATATTGCAACTACTTATTGGATATATATATACCAGTTTTTATTTTACACAAGTCAAAGAGGATGAAAACCTACGGCATTGCATCCACACTTCAAATCAGTCAAAGTCACTATTCTTCACTCTTCTCTACATATTCTTCGACATTCTTGACAATTTTAAGGAACCCTCCAGCATAATAAAAGAATAGCTTCACACCTGAGCAAAACTTACAAAATGATTCACATTAACAACCTTTGGCATTCCTTCTAAGAAAATAATAGAACATTCTAGGAAAAAATATTCAAGACCAAAAATCTTTACAAGTACAAACATTAAAGCATTTAGAGTCCGGTACTTCACTCTTCTCTACATATTCTTCGACATTCTTGACAATTTTAAGGAACCCTCCAGCATAATAAAAGAATAGCTTCACACCTGAGCAAAACTTACAAAATGATTCACATTAACAACCTTTGGCATTCCTTCTAAGAAAATAATAGAACATTCTAGGAAAAAATATTCAAGCCCATATATCTTTACACGTACAAACATTAAAGCATTTAGAGTCCGGTATTTAAGCTACAAGACCAAAAAACCAAAAAACAGCAATTTGTTAATCCTCGACTCTTCTTTACTTCCAGAACTCTAGGTATGAGGCAAAGAGAAGGAAAAAATGGACTTTGGGCATGTTAGCTTAGCTTAAAAAATTTACTGATAGGTATGAGTTTTAAAATAAACAAATTTATTTTTATCAAATTGGAATTAAACAAATTGCTTGTTTTGACAGTCAAGTAAGAGTTAGTTCCAAAATAAATAAACTTTTTTACTTCAAATAAGTTTTCCAAACATGTTGTCAAAAATTAAAAGAAAATTTAATTTGTATTTAAGCGTAGTCAAGCTGGTTCTAGACTTCTAGTGAGACTCGAACTCCAACGGAAGACAGCTCTGAAGTTACAATAAGTGTTTCTAGTCTCATGGTCCAAGTCTTAGCATGGGAGATTCAACCATGAATATATGACACTTAAGCTTCCGTATCACATCAGCAATTTCCAGTCATAAGCACAAAAATTGAGATGAAAAATGTCAATTATACGTAGATGTTAGGCCAGCCTCATGGAATGAACAACCAGAATCAGCTCAAACCCTTTTTTTTTTACGAAAAATGACAAAATAGATGAAAAAGCTTCACATGGTGTACTGGTGTGTTACATTATTATTAGAGTCGGAACTGTAAGAAATTACCTTTAATCAAACTCATCGCCTTCATCTCCAAATTGTTTCTCCAGTATCAGGCCAGCTATGTTACTATTTACAGAGTTAATTTGGGTCTCTCCCGCAGAGTTCTCTCTAGTATGTACAGTCTGACGCCTAGTGTTTGCTATTGGGCTAACATTAGCATTTACATTGCCCCTGCTTGTTTCTCCAGCACCATTGTGCGGTTCCGCCATAACAATGCCATCATTGGTCATCATATCATGAGAGCCAGATCCTTCAGACATGTCAGACCTCTGGCATAGCAATTGCCCGTTATTGTGGCTATTCATAAGAGGATTTCTGAATGATAACGAGAATTTATTAGAATTCGGCACAATACACATGAAGAAATTAAAATCATAAATAAGAAACCACAATAAGACAATTAGTCAAACCATGGAGAGCAGAGTGGAAAGGCACACAGCTATATTTAAATATAAACTAAACTAGAAAATGTTTAAAATTCCAACCCACCTCCCAGGAAAATGAAGATTAGAAGTTTGTAGATAATCAAGAACTGGAACCAATTTTTTTGACCTAACTACAAGCATCTCAACGGGGATTTTTTCAATCTCAATCTCTCCCCTACGAGCACCTTCATCGTCTTCATTAAAGTCATCAGTCAGTAACATGGAATAAAAATTTATCTGCCAAAAGATAATAGGATAAAAAATGTCAAGCATCGCAGCGATGGAGGAGTAAATTTGCTAAAACACCATTTCAAATTTTATACCACCGATCAAGTACCTCAGGTTTCGCCCACAATGGACTCTGATTTTGATGCATTTGCAGCTCTGCCTCAGATACATACATATGATGTCTTTCTTCAGTTGTGATCTTATCTTTCGTTGGTGCACCTATGACAACGGAACACACACTATCATCCTGTCTGGTTCTTTCAGGAAATACTTTAGCACGACCTAAATTTCCATTTTCGATATATACGCCAATATCATCTTCCCGCTGCTTCCTGTTTAGTTTCTGGTAAATATCCCACTTTTGGATTGCCTTAACTACTAACCCTGCATCACCATCTAGATCTGATTCACAGCTGGTATTCACTCCCGGTAAAGCTGTCACACTATTTAGCACGGCAGAGGTACCCAATGCATATTGTATCATACAACCAGAAGAAGAGAAAACAAGCAGGTAGTTTGTCTTCAGAGAATTGGAATGTCCATACACATCATCACCTCTGCAGTTATGGAAAGTTGAAGCAATAGCCCCAGGGAGAGAACTCGTCTTCCCAGTAGCAGCTGCTGCAGCACCACTTACAGCATTTCTCCAACCATTATTTCCATTTCTTATTCTGATAAGAGGAGAAAGTGAAATTGGGGAACCAGATGGACAAATAATTTGTTGGGTTAGATGCTGTATCCCTGAATTTGGTGGCCCATGAACTGCAGGCTTCTTCATCGAACTGTATCCACAGTTTCTAGCACTAAAACAAGCATCAGAGGACTGAATGTTTAATGAACCCCCTGAAGGAGAAATAGCAAAAAGATGGCTTGTCCCTCTTAAAGAACTAACCATAATCCATTGGCCATTGCTACTGAAACTTATGTCCTGTATGACCTAAAAAACATTATCAAACAGAAACAATATCAGATCAATCCTATTTGCTGACAATAGCATCCGCATTTATAACAACATAAAAAACAACTTTTTGTTCTTACTGCAGGTGTGACACCACGTTGCAGCCTGTAGAGATGGACATAAGATGGGCCAGAAGCAGCTTCAGAGTAACCTCCAGAAAGTTCAGACATTATACGGAAAACATTAATGTTGTGGCCCTGATCTGAAGCCGTCACTAGCAGGATGCCACTAGGATCAAAGCACAAAGATGATATAGGATGTTTATGTGCCCTAAACTGGGTAACAACACTTTTGCTGACAACATCTCTGACAATGACCTGGTGAATAAACAAGAAACAAAATGAGGAAAACATTATTTCAAAATGGAATATGTGAGAGAACACACAAACATCAGTTTCCTGCACAAAATAATCAGGGTAAAGATACAAAAAGCAGAAATGCACCTGTTGTGATGCACAATAAACATTAATCAGATATTACTAATCCTATACCTAAAGAATATCTTATATATTCACCAAAATTGGGAAGAAACATTCCAAGTACAGTACAGTGCAGTACAGTGACAGTATTAGGTTCAATAACTTGTGCAGCAGGTAAAAGAAATTTGACAGACACAGCAACAAGTCACATACAAAAAAAGGTATCTGCAAACCATAAAAAAGATGCACAGCAACAATAGTCACATACAAAAAAAGGTTTCCGCAAACCATAAAAAAGATGCACGCTTGGGAATTATACATACCATGCCAACACTGTCTGCATGAGCACTTCCTGGCAGAGAATTGTTTCCATCAGGCAACAGCTCAGAGTAGTAACTCGATAATTTCTTATAACCCATGTCCCCTAGTGTAACAATACCAGCAGCTAGTTGCCTGCTCGACTCTTTTGCATAATGTGCAACAAGGCTTCCATTTGAAGCAGAACTAGGGAAACTAACAGATGGGTTAAGATGTTGTGGACTCACACGACCTGAATTTGGTATGGCAACTGGACTTCCACTATAAGCCATCCACCTGGGACCCACTGCAAGGGGCCCAAAACCTATACCTCCAGATCCACAGTCACCCATAACAACAGGATTTGTAAGAATTGTATACTGTCTCTCCAGCGTAAAAGCATCGAGACAGTGTATCTGCATAAAACATAGCTTATCAACATAACCTGACAAGAGAAAAAGGACAGCGAAGGATGAAAGGTATAATTTTTGATGAATTTAAGACATGGTGAAACACACCTGAGCTGATTGTAGAACAACAACAACTCGAGAACTACATCGCACTAAATGAACAACAGACCGAAACCGTAAAAGATGTACATATGATTGTGATTGCAACGAATAAAACCAAACTACCGTCGGCACACAACTACCATTAACCAAACCATGGCAGTGTTGGGTGAACCCATTACCAGCACCACCATACCCCTCCTGAA